TCGGTAGTGCAGGCGTCCTCTCCACAGAATGAAATCAAACGCATGATCGTACCGGTGCATGGTGCGTTGCAGCCTGAGTTTTACACTGGTCTAACATGTTGTAGGACAATCGACCCTACACGCTTACACTAATTGTTTTCTGGCGCAGGTTTAAGGCACGCGAAAGTTCTACTTTGTTTCTCATTCGGCCTCATACTGCAGATATCTTGGATTTTTATTGTATTTTGCACATAGGTATGTAACCTTTACTGCATTTCTAACAGCTGGTCAGGACTGTTTCTCATCGCTCAAAACTGGCTAGGAAAAATGCAGCACAGTGGCCTTCTCGACATGCTTCGAGTTGCTTGGGTTTCTACTCGCCCTGTCTCGACACGGCATTTGCTGCTGCCTTGCCACGATGAGCTTCCTGAGACGGAAATTTGTGAGACCACCTATAAGTCCCAAAATTTCAGATTTCTAATTTTTAACTTGACAGATACGTGCAAAAACACAGATGTTAACTTGATATAATGCAATACTGCATAAAGACTTGTGCAAACGTGTAAATAATGTTTGAAATTTGAATAAATGGTCTGTATTCTTTATATGTGGATAGGAGTTAACTTTTTGCAAAAGGGCGTTTTGTTCGGCAAACGATATTGTAGGGATTACAACCTTTTACAGGATATACGGGACTATTAATTTCGCGTTTTCACAGCAGTGCAAAATGCATATTGTCAAAACCTTATCAACTTCTGTTTGTTCGAATTTTTGTCCGAGGTTTTCAATTTATTAATCAGAACACTTAAGAAGCTGAAATTTGTCAAGAATGTTTGGTGTCCACGCGCAGTTCTATAATGAAAGTTGGCTTCCAAGAACGTCCGCGGGTACGTGAAAGTTCATGCGGGAAATTGTTAACATTCTTCTGAGACAGAAACCAGACAACGCAAAAAGTTGAAGTTTTAGAAGGATGCTTCCTGTCCAAGGGCGACCCAAAAGATTTGAATTCAATTTTCACGTATACCTAGATCTCACTTTCAGACATATGAAAACAAACTGCTGAAACACCCCGCCATTCGAATCCAGGAATCGAACAAGATGGGAAGCTGCTATTTTTAAGAAGATACTTCATATTCATGAGCAGACCTAAAATTTAAATTCAGCTTCACGCACAAAAATATGAAACTTTCCAGTTCAGAAACTAAGCAACACTTGGAACGATTTTTGCGCATATCAAGCTGCAAGGCATTGAACGTTCTTAGCAACAAGCATCCATAGGACAGAACTCCGCGAAACACATGATCTCACCGGTTACCCTGGTGCAAGCCGCTGTTCATTTTTCCTCATCGGAATTAATCACTACTATGCGCTGGTTAAACACATGTGCTTTGGAACTACAGCTATGGGAAAAAAATGCAAGGCAAACCTCATAAAAAACAGTATAGACAGTGAAACCAGCATTTTTAGCATTGCGACTCATTTCTTCCGGATCTGGTCCTTTATTACTCCAGCCATCAGTAAAAACAAGCATCACTTTTTTCGCAATATTTAGCGGTCGACCGCCATGTCTTTCATCTTGCTGTTCGACCCCGAGTCGAATGCCTTCACCTGCAATATTGGAGAATTTTAAAAATGCATGACAACAAAATTTCATCAATTTCTTTCGAAATCAACCCTATTCGCAAACGCAGCTTTTAACAAGCACGTTAAAACGGGATCTGTGCATGTCTGCGGATACGACCTGTTTCCGCTCTTTTTAGCTCGCAATGGGCTCTGAATTTTGACCTCCAATATGCCACACGCACTTTTCATGCGTAAGAAATTACCATAGAATACATTTTAATATGTTTGAATGTATGTGTGTTTGAGGGTCTCTCTGCCGTAGTGATTCAGCTCTAAAATTGTAGGAAGCTGAAATCCGGAAGCATAGTCGCTAGCCATTTGTGGACTCCGAAATATAAAATAAACATTTACATCTCCCTATGCACCGACATAGGGAACGTGATTTCAGCCTCACCACTGCGAATATTTTCTTCCGACGAATAGGTCCAAAAGTCGTTGTGATGAGGTAAAAATTCTTGCACGTTTTATCGCTTTCAACTATACTGAATCCGCAACAACGCATCTCAAAAATGCCCTACCGCACCTTGCTTTAGCGCAATCGTATCTTCTTGAAATTTGCTGCTGAACAATAAAAGACTGTTTTCTGATAAAGGCAGTTATGTCTAATTTTCGGAATAGTAAGCGCAAAAATGGCGGCAAGATCTACTAACTAGCTCCAGTGTTTTTCGACTGGTTGAATGAAACTGTAAAAAATCACTGTTTTTTATTCCGCTGAATTTTGTCAAAAAACTTCTGATACCTCCAAACTGACGAATTTGCTTCGCAGTTCCCAGAAATTTTTTAAAAGCTTATCAATCGTCAAAATCAGTGACAGTAACTGCACTACAACACGCGAAGAAGGAATTCCGATTAAGATTTTATTATGATGTAATAGCAGCTTGTAAAATTTGTTCCTTCTAGCAGTAAAAAATAAATGGCCAACGCACGGGCTGCCCGTGCGAAGATGCGTTTTTTGCGGAGTTCCTGGCAGGTTTTTGTCGCTACCGGCATCGGTTTTTCGGCAGATGCTTCTAGCTGAATTTCAGACTGGC